ATTTATTTCAGGTTTATTTGACAGGGACAATGCACATCAATAATACATAAATGTACAATGTGCCAGAATTAGCCAGAAGGCTATTTTGCATCTGCAGTCCCTGGACTGATGGTAAAATTGTCACCCTAAAAATATAAAGAATTAATCAATACATAATACTTACATACTCCAAAATACATATAACATTCACACTATTCCTAAAAAAAACAAAAAAACATCCGTTTAAAAGATATACTATACATAGAACCAACAAATCAATACAGGCTCACTCATACACACAATCCAGCTGTCAAACAAAATGACAAACAATGCATCAATAATATCATAATATCAATATACAGACAAAGATAATGTAAGCATACAGACAAGTAACAGTAGCCCTAATCATTCAATCAGTCCTAAACCAAACAACCTCATATACAGTACATAGCATAAAAATCTCAAACTAGTAGAGCAGAAAAGACAAGACGGCAGCAGAGTTTAGTTTATAAAATTAATGTTGACAATGCTGACTCTCAATTAACCACTTCTTTAAGTGAAACTTAAAGGAGGCATAAGTATTAAAATTTGTAATGTAAGTTGGGATGGAGTTCCACTCACGAGCAGCCCTAACTGAAAACATTGTTTGACTAAATGCACTTCTCGTTAATCTGTAACCAGATGGTGCTACGTTTACAAACTGGTTCAATACAGGAGGAGCCAGTCCATGTCTGATTTTATACATAAGACAAAGATCTGTATATATAATCAAATTTTCCCAACTTAAAATATTGTATTTTTTTAAAATATCACAGTGATGATGGTATATGGATTTCTTATCAAAAACTTTCAAGGTTTGTTTATATAAAGAGATAATTGGTTTGAGAGAAGTATTATTTGCTTGTGACCAGGTTGTCAAACAATAGGTGATATGTGAGAAGATCATCGAATGCATAAACATCTTCGCAGCCTTAGTTGACATGCAGCTACGGGCATATCTAAAATTTGCCAAGTTGAACTTAATGTGATTGCAAACCTTCTTGATGTGCGTTTTAAAAGATTGATATCAATATATACACCCAGATATTTAAAATCCAAGACAACTTGTAGTCTCTCCCCAACTATGACTACATCTGACTCCACACGGCAACTTTTAGTTTTACTGAAAAACATACATACAGTTTTCGATACATTTAGTTGTAAGCAATTATGTTTTAGCCATTCCGTGATCTTTAACATTGAACTTGTTAGCTGATCAGAAGCTTGAGTTGCACTATTAGCATGTACAAAAACTACTGTGTCATCAGCATACATCTAGATGTTGGAATTGAAACAAACATTTGGCAAATCATTTACATACAGAGAAAATAAAAGTGGGCCCAAGATTGAACCTTGCGGAACACCTGCTGACAAAGAAACAACACCTGATTGATAATTCTTCACTCTAACCAACTGAGACCGATGTGTTAAATATGATTCTACCCATTTAATGGTGTCTACAGAAAAATTAAATGCATTCAATTTAGATAAGAGAATTCCATGATTAATGGTATCGAAGGCCTTTTTTAAATCTAGGAAGACGGCACCGACAACCCCTTCTCGATCCAACAATAACTGCAGTTGTGCTGCTTAATATTTTTGTGGAAACCATGATACATTTTTCAGGATTCTTTGATAAATAGAAAGTTCAGGAGAACAGCATTTATTTGAACTTTTTGTAACAATGTAATGTCATTCCTGTCACTTTTGATCAATTTAATGCATTCTTGTAGAATAAAAGTATACATTTCTTTCTTAAAATAAAACAAAGAAACATACTGTAAACTTACTATAATGGTACTGTATGTATCCAAAATATAAAGACATAAAAACATAAAGTGTAAATAATATGCAGGTATGTTCTCAGGGTAGATCAGTGCTTCCCATGACACATGCATGAATGATTCACAGATACCAGGCTACAAAAGTCAGACCTAGGGCTGGATGATAAAACAATAATGATAATTAACGAGATATAATTTTCCTCGATAAAATGATAACATGAGTTCAATAAATGTTCTATATAATATTTATGCGCCAAAAGCGAAAACACAAATGAACGAAACAGCGTGGAGCATTTATCCGCTCGGCTCAAAGTTCAAGCAGCAGATGCGTTTACTCGCTGATGAGTGTCGGTCACACAACACTAAACAGCGCTGTAAGATCCAGTGGGAAGCACTTGAATTCAGCGAAGGACACAAATGAGTCGGTGATTTAAACTAGTTTAAAGCCAGATGAAACAGCGCTGACAAACAGGAGAAACACTGTGCGCAACGAGACAGTCAGAATACTTTTCAATCTTCAAATCACCATCATTTACCATGGATTTACTGTAGTAACACTAACCGCACCATGGTATTGTGGCAGAAATGTGGGATATTCATAAAAAATTGTACTATATTATTAATGCAGACTTGTATTAAATGTATTAAAGGAGTATTGGAATATAATTACAGTATTTTTAAGCTATAGTGTTTGTGCATACTAAAAGTATTTAGACTACAAATACCTAAAAACAATATAGATACATTTTTGCCATGGTATTGATGTTTTAACAGCGGTTATCATGATCTAAATGTATAGATCATCTGCATCCGAACTCTAAAGCTATTACCACTGTCAACTCAAGCTACTGTCAAATGTGCATTTCTAAGAGACAAAAAGATGTAATATTATTAATATTGCAGTCTGCACTGCAAACTGTGCTGAAGATAAATGTCATCAAAGTCAGGCAACCCAAACCTGTTCCATGATTTGAAACAATATCAATGCAGAAACTAAGAAATACATTTTTCTATTAAGATAATTATTTTGTTAAAGAAAATGACTGGAAAAGTGTAAAGAATTCAAAAACTGATATTAATTATAAACTTATTGTTACCTATGGATGGATGGATGGAAGATGGATGGATAGATAGATAGATAGATAGATAGATAGATAGATAGATAGAATAATACTGTAACACTATATAGAATAACATGACAATTGTGGCACATCAATTATATCAGTTACAGCAGTTATCAGTTATACATCAATTATTCAGGTGTTTGCTGTATATGTCACAAACACTGTTCTTCTCAGCACTTTTTGTACCTGGTGGGTTTCGTCCCAGCCATTCTCATCACGAAGCCCTAGCTTGGTTCTGTGGTAGAGGAGGGTCTCGCAGCAGGAGGTGTCGCCCCCTATCAGCACAGTGTGGTAAAGTGGTGTCAGCCCACGGCTGTCTTTATAATCAGGAGATTCCCCCAAAGACAACAGTGTCTAAAAAACAACAACAGATGATTAGATTTAAATATGAATTTTTAATTACAAGCATAATTTCATCCTAATCATGGTTTTGTGTATGTGTTACCAGTAGTGCAGTGTGTGCATGTGCTCTGACAGCCTTGTGGAGAGGGGTCAAGCCATCCTTTGCCCTAAAGTCAATGTGTGCTCCCCCCATCACCAGCACCCTGATGATCTCCCCTCCGCCCGGCTCCGTCTGTACAGCCAAAGTGAGTGGGGTCTCTGTCACACACACACACGCGCGCACACACACAAGTAATCAGTTATTACACAAGGCAAATGGATAATTACAATCTATGTGGTACATTATTCAGGAAGATTTTCCTATTTCTATCTTTTGCTGTTGAGTGTCAGTAGGAAATATCAGTTTACATTTCCAAACATTCCTTTTGCCATTAATTGTAAGAATCCATTGAGATTTTTGTTTTAATAATTTTGGCCACCACTGTATATATATATATGTATATGATTTGTCTAGACAGTCTTGGCATCAACCCAAGATCGTCAGCATGTTGATGTGATGACGGACAAATTGTTGGTGATATGTATTAGTTACTTTTTTTTTTTTTTTACCCTATTCACCTAGGGTGTATCCTGCCTTTAACAGGTTTGGAATGACATGAAGGTAAGTAAATAAAAAGGTTATTTTTGTTTTTGGCTGAACTATGCCTTTAATTGTAACAGCATATTTTTCTCAGATCAGCCTCCTGGTGGTTGCAAATGGTGCAGCAGTTCTCACTCCCCATTAGCAGGGTCTGCTTTGAGAAGTGACTGTCAGCCTGGCAAGCACAACATCAACTCTGTGACAACGCAGACGATGCAAACTGTGAACAACACTCAAGTGTAGCCATCTTGCAAGTCAAACTCTGCCACAAATGAATGCTAATATTACTCTGCATTATCATCTGGTCCATAAAACGACTTTCACGGCATGTCTGGCCACGTCTCCAGCTCACCAATTGCTCACCAAAGCGCTAAAAACTTGAATTAATATGCCATAAAAGATGCTGCCCCGTTACAAATACATTCAAATTATTCAGTGGTTTTTCTCTGTTGACGCGCATTGAACTGAACCGTTGAGCTGCAGTAATTGTTTCATCTCATTAAGCAGCCCAAAAGTAGTAATTGGGTTTAGGAGGCAGCCACTGAGTCTAATGTTAACTTTATGCATTTGTTGCATAATTAAAACTCCAGATGACTTTTGTTGGAAACTGCATGGATCGTTTGAGAAGATACAAATGTCCATTCCTGTAAACGCTCCTTGAATATTCATGCAGCCATATTTCATAATATTCATGGCCAAGTTTATGCTCTGCTGCCAGTAATTCATTATTCAGCTCACTAATGGGAAGTTCATTAACTCTCACAGGAAGGGAACAGTGCAATGCCTGACACCTCACCTCCTGTCTCAGCGTCGTGGTAGTTGGGGTCAAGTCCTTTGTCTACAAGTTTGACTACCTTTTCCACAGCCCCGGCCTGGATGTAGTCCATAAACTTCTTCAGACTGGCCTATTGGGGAAGACACATACAACTTATGCCTCACAGCCATGCCAGGCTGTGCATGCCCTGAGGATAAGCTACTTACCGTATTTAACATACACACTAAGACGCAAGTAGCACATCTTGAATGTTCACTTTATATTTCTATTTTTGGAAAAGAATAAGATGATTTCTGTGACGACGCCTACCTTTGTGTGCAGTTTGGCCAGCTGTTTTTCATCTAGATTTGTCTGTTTGTACACCCTGGTTTTGTAGCGGAACTGTGTGAAAGAAAATCAGCCAAAATCATTGTAAGACAGATAACTGAGAGCCGTCAAAGAAACTTCCATCCGTTTGTGGAGGAAAAATGAAGTGTTTACAGTAATGTAAGGACTGATGTTGTCACGAATCCTGTTCATGAACTTCCATCCGCTTGCCACCAGAGGTCGCCCTCCCATTATATTGACTCTCACACCACACAGACTGTTACACATCACTCTGGACTACATTTCCCATGCTCCATTGCACTAATCACAAGCTCACCTGAAACCAATCACACACAGCTGCTACCAATAACACACACTATATAAATCAGTCTCACACCACCATTCAACGCCGAGTATTGTATAGCGTTTATCAATAAAAATGTCTTGTGATAAGTAAAGTTGTCTAAAACGGTTCTGGCAGGACTATTTTTCTAGATGGTGTAACTTCTGTTTATGGCACAATTACTTTATGGACACATCCTTTAATAGTATGGTTGTGTTGATCAATGTTAACTAAAAATAAAACTATTAAAATAGTTTTATTAGTTTTATTATTTATTTTGAATTACCTAAAACTATTATATTTAAATTACCTAAAACTATTTTTAAAATAGTTACAGGTCATTTAAATAAAGCTGAAACAAAACAAAATATTAATATTAGATGAAACACTTAAACTTAAAAACAAAAGCCTTAATGACAGCTTTAGAACTGAAACAACTATATTTAAGTTGAAGTATTAAAATTACTAAAAATAAAAATAAAATGAAAACTGAAAATACAGTTTACTAAAGTAAATAATTTTTACTAAAATATTAATAAATACTATAACAGTATATAAATAATACTAAAATAACACTGGTGTAAGATTTCATTAAAAAAGCATCTCGAGGTATCAAAGTATCAAGCACTGTAACTGAACACAGCAAAAATGCTGAGAAGCACAAGCCTAAATTAAGTTGTTACAATCATATTTTGTCATTGTTAATAAATGAAAATACAGAAGCACATTGGCGTTGGTAGGAGTCCTTGGTATCAGACTGAAAAGAAAATAAGTGATATTGCCCACCCCTATTATCAACTTCAGATGAGAAGGGCTTTTTGTAAATTAATTAGACTTTAAGTTGAGTATAATATTAATTGCTCTGTGCTCTACAAATAATAATAAAAAACATTTTAATTTTTTCACTTTAACTTTAAATGTCTAAAGACATTCTCCAATAAGCCATATCAGGGTTATTAGGATTCATATTACCAGAGAAGACGCTTAAAGAATTATTATCACCTAGGCAACAAACAATTTGAAGCAGCAGTTTCCTAGCACCAACATTCACATTCCATTATAGAACAAGATTTTTTTTTTAAAAGAAAGAAGAAAAAAAGAGAGTAAACAAAAAATGCCTAAAATGAAGAGGAGAATAAAAGGAAGGGTACCTCCAGGTAGGGTACTCCTTTCTCAAAGGATTGTGGGTATTCGCGGAGCGGCCTCTCTTCCTCCAGGAACTTGGCATCGTGCCCGTCAGTAGCAGGTTGGAAAAGGCCATAGTTTAATACATCCCTTAGAGATTCAGTTAGACTACACAGCACCTGCTGCTTTGCCTTCCATACGGTTGCATCAGGGTTGAACCTCAGACACTTCTATAGAGACAGAGAGAACAAAAATGGCTGTTAGATTAACAAAATGATTCAACAATATAATACTATTTAGTTATTTGCTTTTTATTATATATAATTATTATATTATATTATTAAAATATTATATTGTAATATTACATTTCAAATATTTATATATGTATTTATATTATAGACACTAACATTTAAAGTTTTGGGGTTGGTAAGATTTTTTTTAATGTTCTTGAAGTTTAAAAGAAGTGTTTTCTGCTCACCAAGGCTGCATTTATTTGATCATACATACAGTAAAACTAGTAACACTGTGAAGTTAAAATAACTGTTTTCTATTTTCATCTATTTTAAAATGTAATTCAATCTTGTGATGTTAAAGCTGAATTTTCAGTCTTCAGTGTCACATGATCCTTAAGAATTCATTCTAATATGCTGATTTTCTGCTCAAGAAACATTTCTTTTTATTAACAGTTCTTCTGTATATAGAAATTGTAGTTTCTTTAAAAAATTACACCAAACATGAACAGTAGTATGTATTAAATTTTTGATCATATTATAATTAATCTGTTTTCATATATTTTACATTATTTATTTACATATAAATTTATATGGTTAATTTTATTTATTAATAATAACTACCAAACAATTACTATTACTATAAATTACTATTTATCCCCATTGACCCTAAAAAGAAAAAAATGCAGTTCTGACCGATGTGCACTAGAGGGAGACATTGTGATTCACTGAGGTGAAACATCACCGCTTGTCGAATTAACAGACCCCGCCTGACCAGCAACTGTCCATCAGCTTCATTAACATATAATTTGAGTCTTTGTTCACCCTGGTAGTGCTAAATGGCAATGCTAATTGATTAATTAGCCTGCAGTAATACCTCCAATCCACAGCCTGCTCAGGTAATGTAATAGATGCTTCGGAAGGTCAGGAATTGCGGTGTGATTTGTGACACACCCCACACGGCAAGTACTGCTATGACATTGCCTAAAACTCCTTGCAGCCTTCAAGCTTGAGCACAAGCTCCAGGCTAAGGGACATGGTAGCTTCGAGCTGCTCGGGCTGGATTTTGGGACAGCAGCGCTGTTTCCAGCAACTGTGAAAATGGGACAGCCCTGCAGCTGAGTGCTGGAAAGAAATCCCCTCCTCTGACCTTGAGGACTTAAGTCCGAAACGGTCAGTTTCCTGCTCTCTTTACCACTGTCCTCTTGTATGTGTGTGTGCACATGCAGTGGCACAGAGAAGTGTGAAATTTCTTCCTCCCTCTGTTATTCAGTCTCTCACTTTGCACACAGCCAATCCCCATCACCATGGCAACCAGTTCATTAGTGGAGCAAGCTGCAGGTTGCCATAGAAACATCTCAGCAGTCCCTTGGTGCGCTATGGTATGGTGTATGTGTTTCACTGTGATCTTACAGAGTGCATGTGCACTGGAGGGAGTTCTGCTGGAGAGAGGTCATAGGTGTAGTGGACAACTTCACAGACAATTTGGAATATCAAGACATGTGGCGATCACTCACACAAGTCAAACATCTTGAATATGCAAGGATATGCAGAATAGTTCACCCAAAAATGAACATTTCATCATCTTTTATACATGCCTCAAGCCTTTTGAAACCCTTTTTTTCTTTTTCTGTGGAAGACAAAAGATGTTTATCCAAGCTGTTTTTTCCAATATAGTGAAAGTGGATGGTGACCACAGCTGTCAAGGCAAGAATTTCAGTAAATGGCTTCAGAAGACATGGAATTTCCTATGGACCATTGTTATGGTGCTTTTTTTTTTTTTTTTTTTTGGGGCTGGACAGCTTCTGGTTCACATCTACTTTCACTCTACAGAAAAGAGCAGTGTGAACATTCTTCGAAAAGCATCCCCTTGTTTGTTCCACTGAGGAATAAAAACCATACAGGATTGAAACGACATTAGGTTAGTAAAAAATGGCAGGATTTTCATTTTTGAGTGAACTATCCCTTTTAACGCTATACACAATGCAAATGATTAAAAAAAGGTGCACACTACAGATGTAGACGTGAGTTAATTCGCACCCATGTGATTACAATAATTTTGTTGGAATGATAATCAACCTGGAAAATTATTTATTATAATGATATCTAATTATACTAATTTGGCAGTTAATCTAAGAGCTATTATTTTCAGGTCGCAAACCACAGACTTCTTCACAATGCCGTCCTCTCTTTTTTCCACTGACAATAAGCGTGACATCCTGTGCTGTTTTCAAAACGTTGAGGAACAATTTATAGATGAAAGTTCTAAACAGATTAGCTAATTAAGCAAAATGTACCTAAATGCCTTTGTGCTCTATGCCTGGTCTAACTGCTTTACTGATAGAAATTCTGTTTAAGAGCTACATCTCTATCTCTCTCTTGACTTTTTCATACTTGTTTTTCTCTGTTCTTATAATGTTCTGTTGTGAACCCATTAATTTGATTCTTATTCTTTCTCTCTCTACTCTTTCTCTTTAAGCTCGGTGCCAAGAGGTACAACATTCAGTTAAAGTTAAAATATCAAAAAGGCAACTTTGGTCTAATAGTTTGGTTTAACTGTTCTGCCCCGCTGACTTTTTTATGAGACTGGCCCTCAGTCCATTTAATGTTCCAAGTTAGCGGAAACCAACATTTCAGATTTTATGGCCAAGCATGTTAAAAATAATTTACCATTACTGCACAAGCATCCGCATCTGTTATTATAATCTGAATATCTGAAAATTGTTGAGAAATTGTGCATATACATATGTGAACAAATCAGATTTTTTTTGCACTTTTCACTGTCAGACCAACAAACAAGTCAAATAGCAATCCAGCTAAAATAGGGTCATGTTAACATAGATTTGCTAACATGATCATTACAAAAATTCACACAGTTGAGTTTAGTTGTCCCACATTACCAAACGTCCTAGATTAGCCTGATGCAAACTACATTATTGATTCGGAGAGCTGGGATCCCTGCAGACTGCGTATAATATACAGAAAAATGCCACATTTTGCTGATATAACACATAAGGACTGCTGTGCATGGCAAACCAATATTTTTACTTTACTCTGGATATGTTTGAACTATTACAGACATTGTACAGTTGTAGGAAAAAGTATGTGAACGTAGATGTACCACGGGTTAAATGGCTCATACAATTTGATCTCAACATCAATAGACAAACATAGTCTGCTTTAACAATTAACACACAAAAGTGTATGTGTTTTCATGTTTTCCACTATGTAAACGTTCACAGTGCAGGACGGAAAAAGAATCGGAATAGTTGGATTTAATAGTTGACTCTTTTGTCAACAATAACCTTTGGGTTACAAGTCAGACTCTCTAACCATTAGGCCACGACTGCCCCCAATAAGGACATGGAAACGTATAATTTTTGTGACTTTATACATGTTTGACTTTATTCTGTGATAATTTTAAATAACAGACAGAAAGTAACTGAGCTAATCATGGAGAGACCACTTTTTCAGTAAGTTAGCATGAAAATCATTGCTGTAATCTGAAACTGTCTTATATATGCAAGCATTACGTGGTGTTGGAGTCTTACTAAAGTGTTTGCTCATGTTTGACTGGTACAATATTTCATGTAACCCTCCATGTGTCTCTCTCTCTCATTGTAGCAGCTCCCTCAGGCCCATTTCTGCAGGGCAAGAGCAGGGGGGATTAGTAGATTTTAATGAGATCTATAGGGAAATAACCTTCACTGCCTCCTCCTACTCCTCTCTCTCTCTCTCTCTCTCTCTCTCTCTCTCATTGCCATTTTCATGACCACTCCCATCTAGTCTTCACAATTACACATACTTCTAATTTTCAACCATCTTCCTCTTCCACTGGAAAAAAATATATATAAATTATTACTCAGTGTTTTTGACATTGGCAAACAGTTTTTTATAAAGCATAAATCAAACCAAATGTGATGTTAGTGAGGTTCATACTTAAGTTAAAAAATAAATAGATAAATAACTAAATAAAAGCAGCCAGTGGAGTGAGACAAACAAATGTAAGATTTGTATTTATTTATTTTTTGGGGAAATTAACACTTATTCAGCAAGGATGCAATAAATAGATCAAAAGTGACAGTAAATACTTTTACATTGTTACATTTTTGAAGTTAGATTTCTATTTTGAATAAATACTGTTCTTTTGAACTCTCTATTTATCAAAATACCTGGAAAAAATGTATCATGGTTTCCACAAAAAATATTAAGCAGCACAACTGTTTTAAACACTGATAATAATAAAGAAACATTTACTGAACACCAAATCAGCATATTAGAATTATTTCTGAAGGATGATGTGACACTGACACTGATTAATGGCTGCTGAAAATTCAGCTTTTGCAGGGGGGAAAAAACCCTTTTAAAATATATTAAAACAAACCAGTTGTTTGAAATTGTAATAATATTTCGCAATATTTCTGTTTTTACTGTATTTTTGATCAAATAAATGCAGCCTTGGTGAGCAGAAGACACCTCTTTAAAAAAAAAACACTGATAATAATAAAGAAACATTTACTGAACACCAAATCAGCATATTAGAATTATTTCTGAAGGATGATGTGACACTGACTCTCTTTCTCTTTTCTCTAATAAAATTGTCAGTTTTACTATTCAGCCAATGTTATGTTAATCAATTAGCATACAGTTCCTATGCAGTTTGTGGTAATACTAATGAATCTCAATGTTTGATTTCAAGTACATTTTGTATGATAAACAATTCTAGTTCTGTTTTGGGTCGCCGCTTGATGTCCGATGGCAAATCTGCATCCAAAAGCGTTTAATGCATTACAGGGTGAGTGGGCATTCCCGCAGCCCTACATTTGCTCGGTTGTGTTTGCACACCTCCTGTCTCTCCCCGAACTCATTAAACCACAATTAACGAGCAATTGCAGTTTATTGAGGGTGAATTAGCTGGTATGTAGAGCAGGCCTAATGTACTGGGATTATGCAGACATATTATTCCACACAGAAAAAGCAGAGGGAGAGAGAGAGAGACT